TAAAGTTTTCTCATCCTTTGCTTCATTTAAGATTTTCTTAGTCTTTGGCTTTCAGCAGTTATGTTATGCTTGATTTTATTTAATTTATCCAGCTTGGATTCATAATGATTATTGAATATGTGGCTTTATGTCTTTCAGTTTGGGGAAATTTTCTGTCAGTATCTTTCAAATACTGCTTCTAAATAATCATTGCTCACCTGCCTATCTAGAATTGTAATTACAACAATTATGTTACTTTTTTTAAAAAATGGTGTCATACATATAACTTAAATTTGTTTTGAACTTTAAATCCTTTTATCTGTTTGTGCCTCAATCTGAGTGTATAGACAGACCTATTTTCTAGTTATTTAACTCTCCTTTCTCCTGAGACTAATCTGTTATTTAATCTATCTATTGAATTCATAATATAATTATTGTTATTTCAGAGATTGCAGGGCTTGGGCAACATTGTCAAATTTTAAAAACTTTTAAAAACACATTAATGACAGCTTTTAGGGAAAACTTAATTTTTTTATAATTTCAAATTTAAAGAATACTTGTAGGAATAGAAGAATGTATAACTATATTTTTTTTATCTAGATTTACCTTCTTTTTAACATTTTTCTCCATTTGTTTTCTCATCCTCCCCTCCATGCACATATATCCCCCCTCAAACATAATATTATTTCTTTCTGAAGCATTTGAAAGGATGTTGCAGATGTCATGCTTTTTTATTCCTAAATTCTTTGGTTTGTCTTTACTAAAAACAAGGAATTTCTTTTTTGTAACCACAAGACAACTATCAAAATTAGAAAGTTTATTTTTTATTTATTTATTTTTGAATTAGGAAGTTTAATACTAATACAATGCTACTATTTTATCTATAACCTAAATTCAAATTTTGTCAATTATTCTAATAATTCCCTTATATCTACATATTTTTGCCCAGTCCAGTTTGTAATCTAGGATCATGCATTGCAGTTAGTTGTCATGTCTGCTTAGTCTCCTTTAATGGAACAGTTCTTCTGTTTTTGTCTTTTATGATCTTGATATTTCAAAGAGTGCAGAACAGTTACTTTGTAGAATGTTCCACAGTTTTGGTCTGTCTAATATTTCATTATGATTAGATTCAGGTAATGCATTGTTGGTAGAAATAACACAGAAGCGATGTTATGTCCTTCTCTGTTCATCATATCAGGAGACACATAATGTCCATTAGATTTATTACTGGTGACACTATCTTTGAGAACTTAGATCAGTAGATGTCTGCTAGTGTGGGCTACCATGAAGTTACTGTTATTTATTTGTGATGAATTAAGTTATTTGTGGGGAAATACTTTGAGACAATGTAAACATTCTGTTTCTCACCAGACTTGTACCCAGTATAGTTTAGCTTTCGCTGATGATTCTTTACTGAAGCAATTATTACTATGATGTTTACAAAATGATTGTTTTCTAAATCTGTTATTTTTTCTATATTTATTACTTGGCATACTTATATAAGGAATAACTTTTCCTTTATTCCCATTTGCTAATTTAGTAAACTTGTGGATTCTTACTTAATTCAATGAATTATAATCCATTGATCTCATCTTTTAATTTGATCTTCAAATGTTCCAGATTTGGCTGTTGGGAGCCCACTCAAAAGCTCCTATGAACTTTTGCCATGGCCATTATGGTTGGAACATTTCTTAAATTTCTGGCACAATGAGATGTTCCAGTATCGCCTTTTACTTTATCTGCCCCGACAGTGGAATCAGTAAATTCTTCAAGGAGCCCTGGTTCTGTTTTGTGTAGAATGGCATTTAGAAACTAGATTAGGAAGATCTGGACACTAAGTATGCTCATCTTGCTACTGGAGGCCACTGGGCTCAGAGGGGCAGGGGAACACAGGACTACCTCTATCTCTAAACCTAGCCTAGGACTTCATACTATACTCCCAAATCTTATCTAACATTAGCAGGCTCATTTTGCTTTTTCTCTTTTCTATATTTGCAAGTCCCTTCTGTAAGTGAGACATTATCCTCAGTACACCTACTCATTTGCCCAGGGTTAGATCCAGAGAAAGCAATTTTGAATTGCTAATCCAACCGCTATGAAACAAAACAAAACAAAACAAAACAAAAACCTACTAACCACTGTTCAGTATTTGTTAGAAGATTTTTGTCTTTCAACTGAGGGTTTGTAGTCAAAACCCTGTATTCAGTAGTGGATATTTTTTCCCCTTCTGGGTACTTACATTATTCACTTGAAATATAGTTAGGCCTCATTTGTTTCTGTTTGTATTCTATTTTAGGTTTCATTCCCTTCCATGTTTGTTAGTTTAACATCATCATCATCACCATCACCATCTTGGGTGAGCATATAAAGCATCAACATGATTTCAAAACTTAACATTACATAAAAAAACTGTATTGAGAGGAGTGTTACTTCCCCTTTTCCACCCTGCCCACCTTGTTAATATACCCTCATTAGTTTCTGGTTCATTGTTCTCAAGTTGAGTTTTGTAAATATACATAAAGACCTTAATATTATTTTCTCTTCTTTTTTACACAAAAGTAGCATACTACATATATAGTCTTCTACACTTTGCTTTTTTAGGTTGACAACAAAGATATCCTGGAAATCACTCCATATCACATATTCTTTAGTTTTTATTTTCAGCGGGATGGTGTACCATTGTGTGAATATATTCTAGTTTATTCTATGAATCTCCTATGTGAGTTTTCCCCCAATATTTTCCAATTACAAACAGTTATATACCTTGTTCACATGTATTTTTGTACTAGTGAGGGTGTATCTTCAAGGTAATTTTAGATGTGGGCAAAATGTAAACTCACTTGTGGTTTTGTTAGATACTGTCAAATTCTCCCATAAGACAGGACATTCTCTCCAGCCATGTATGAGAGTGCCTTTTTTCCTTGTGGCTTTGTCAAGAGAATGTGCTGTCAAGCTTTGTAATTTTTACCCAATCTAGTCTTTGAGAAATGATATGTCAGTATAGTTATAATTTGCATTTTTCTTATAATGTCAGAAGTTGGCCATCTTTTCATATGTTTAAAGGTCATCTAAAAATCTGTGTTTGTGAATTGTGACTTTTGCTTATTTTTTATTGGTTTTCTGATCTTATCACTCTCAATTTTAGAGTTCTTTATATATTTGGGATGGATTGTCGCTCTTTATCTTTGATACCTGTTAGTCATAGTTATTTTAAAATCAGTGTGAATCTGTGGGACTATATTATTGACTTAAATTCTTTTGGGTTTTGGCCATTTGTTTCTCTTTCTTAACAGGCCTGGTAGTTTTTGATTGAATGTCAAACTTTGTGTTTAAAAAGTTGTAGAGACTCTGAATGGTGTTATTTTCCTGCAGAGATGACCTTGTGTTCTGCTGGCTAACAGATGATACTTGGGTAGATAACCTTGATCAAGGCTGGCCAATTTAGGCTTGGCCCTCACTCAATGGAAGTAGACCTTTCTGGGTTGAAACTGAAAGTCTGGGGTCTTTACCTTCCTCCTTGGCAATCCTCAGCACAATGAGACTCCTGTTTTTCCCCTAGATGTTTAGCCTTTGTAGCAGTTGCTTTCTGCTGGTTTCTCTGTCGTATCAGAGCCTGTACAGTTTAGGAGTCAGCAAATGCCTTGAGGGGAATTTGCACTATAAGGCTGATTTCCCTGCAGCTCACTCTTCTCCAGGACTTTGGACTTTCAATTTTTGTCAGTGTTTCCAACACAGCAAGACCACTGCAAGCTTTAGGTTGCTGTTATCTCTTCAGCCTTTATTCCCCACACAGTGAGTTGGCAAATAACCCTGATGAAAAACAGCAGTGGCCAACGCAAGGCTCGCTTCAGTGTGCCCCCCTGTCCCCAGGGAGGCAGCCTGTAAAGTCCTGCTGCCTTGATTATTTCCTCATACCTTCAAAGAGCTCTTCTTTTACATTTTGTCTAGCTCTTATAGTTCTCAAACAGAAGGGTTATTCTGATCCTAGTTATTCCGTCATTGCTGGTAGCAGTAGTCATCTTTCCACTTAGCACATTTCATTAAATTTGTATGGAAATAAGAGAACACAGTCAAATTGACAAAGCATTTTGAAATTGACAAGGAAATTGGCTACTGCTGGGGAGGGTATAAATTCGTACCACCTTTCTGAGGGGCATTCATTTATATCAAAATCCTTAATAATTTATTTGCCCTTTGACCCAGTAATTTTGCTTCTAGGAATTTATTTTAAGGAAATAATCATAGGTGTGTGTGAAGGTTTGTTTACAAAGAAAGATTCCAATCCCATTCAACAGAATTGGAATCAAAATCTTCTATATGTGACATTAGAGAGTTGTATAAATTGTGGTGCTTCAATACAGTGAAATATAATGGAATTCAACATTACAAATGATGTAGGAGAATATTTAAATATATTAATAATCTATTGTTAGGCACAAGAGATTACAAAACAACATGTATTGTATGGTCCAATATAAGAATATTTATACAGATATATAAATGTAAGACTAAAATAATGCACATGGTAGTGTTAACAGCTGGTGTTATTGGATTGCTGTCTCTTTTTCCCCTGTGTTTATGCATATTTTAAAAATTTTCCATAGGACATTATTTTTGTTCCAAAAAAATTAATATATGTAAAAGAAAACTTATAGTCAATAGGTCCAGTTGATAATGTTGTCTAGCAAACATTTTATTTTTGTTTTGGCCTTCTGAGCTCTATCTTTATGTGGTTAGTAGTGTTACAGATTTTGTCAGAATCAGTACCCTCTTTGAAAATACTTTGCAGAACAGAAGACCTCTATACAAATATGCTTTAAATTCCCACTAGTCAAATTCTAACAAAGGCTTCACTGGTTTCTGTCAGTGTGTGCCAGAGCCTTTTTAGTACAGAGTCCTTTCAAAAGTAAATAGGTTTGTGATAAGGACCTGGCTTATCAGGGACGATTTATTTCTTAAATTTTTTTATCCTTTGTTGCCCTTGTATTTGAAGGTACCCTTCAGGGCAGCAATCACCAACGATGGCCTCTTGGGTTTGGAGGATGCTTCCTAGGAATGTCCGTTCCTTGACTACATCATCAGAGAACCAGCGAATTGAGGATTTTTATCGTCACATTGAGGCCTATGGGTACTTCTTGCCCATCCAGACAAGGTGTCAGGACAATGACCAGTACGGTCATGTGAACAATGCTGTGTACTACAGCTACTTCGACACTATTATCAACCACTACCTGATCAGGTAGGCTTGGGTTCTGCAGCCTCACATCCTCATGTCAACCTCTGACGTGCCCTCAGTTGGGAGTTCATGCAGAGCATTTTGGGAAGAGATTCTCGCCATTTTCCTTTGCTAGCGCTCCTCTTTTGTGGAGTCAACTGAAAGTCAGATTATTCCAGAGGCAAACAGGAAGATTGACCTGTTGGTGAGGAAAGTGTTGCCCTGATGCTCCTGCAGTCTCAGGTGTTATTGTATCTTGGTCCTTTGGACTAAACTGTCAGCAAATGTGCAGTCTTTGAATCTCAAATAAGCATCTACACAACAAACCGTGTAATATTCAGACCCTGAAGAACTTGAGCAGATATAACCTCTGTCCTCAGGGCCTTTGTACGAGAAATGCAGCTGCTTCCCCCACTGAGGGAACCTAAGGGGGAAGAAGGAGAGTAAAGATGTTCGTTATAGTCGCTGAATGCCCTCAAGACACGATTGCCATTTCATAGGTATGTTTGCAAGATTGGCTAGTATATATTTGGTTAATATAATTTTTTATGTGAAACATTGCATTGTCTAGACATATCTGCATAAATCCTAGCTTCATCTTGCATTATCTATGTAGTTTTGATCAAATTATTTAACCTCATTGAGTCCTCAGTAAAAATAACTCACGTTTATTATGAGCTTTCTCTGTGTCTGGCACTGTGAAGCACTTTACATAGATTTTTGTATTTCATCCCAAGATAACTCAATGAGAGAGTAGCATATTGTCAGTGCACTGTACGGGCCTCCTGCCTATACCCTTTTGGGGCACACTGGCTGGACTGGCAATTGTCAGCTCCAACATTTAGTTGCCTAAGGACTGGCTGTAGGCACCAGAGCTCCTTTTGCAGCCAGGCCAGCAGTGCAAGGTATTAATGCCTTCTAGAAGCGGCCTTCAGTCACTGATGGAAGGTGGTGTATAAATACTCCAGCTTCCTCACCTCTTAAACATCTTTGATCACTTTATACAGATTCCTAGGCTTCCCTAGTGGGATTAAGCTCCGGTTCCCAGGTTGGTACCTTTGAAAAAGGGAGAGAGAGAAAATTTAAATAATGTAAAACCTACTACTTTAGCCATTGTAAAGTGTACAGATTTAGTGGCTTTTAGTATATGTGTATTCACAATATTATGCAACCATCACCACTATCTAATTTTAGAACATTTTTATCACCACCCAAAAAGAACCCCCATACTTATTGGCAGTCACTCTCAATTTCCTTTCCTTCTGTCCCTTAGCAACATGAATCTATTTTCTGTCTCTATAGATTTACCAATTCTGGACACTTTATATAAATGTCATCATACAATATGTGGTTTTCTGTGCCTGGCTTCTTTCACTTAGCATGATGTTTTCAAGACTGATTCAAGTTGTAGCATCTGTCAATACTTTGTTCCTCTTTATGGCTGGATGATAATCCATTATATGGATATACCAATTTTGCTTATTTACCAATTGATGTTTATTTGGATTGTTTTCCCTTTTAACCTATTATGAATAATGCTGGTAGGAATATTTGTGTACAAGTTTTTATATGGGCATGTTTTAAGTTCTTTTGGGCATATACCAAGAACCAAATTGCTGGGCCATATGTTAATTCTACATTTAACTTGTTGAAGAACCATCAAACTGTTTTCCACAGTGGCTGTGCTGTTTATATTCCACCAGCAACGTGTGAGGGTTGCAAGCTCTCCACTTCCTCACCAACATGTGTTATTATCTTTTCAATTGCAGCCATGCTTGTGTGTGGGAAGTGGTATCTCATTTAAGTTTTGATGATGACTAATGATGTTGAACATCTTTCCATGTGCTTGTTGGCCTTTGGTATATCGACTTTGGAAAAATATCTAATTAGATTCTTTTTATAGTGCTTTTTTCAATTTTATTGAGAAATAATTAACATACATCATTGTACAAGTTTTAGGAATAATGGTTTGATTTCTGTATATTATGAAATGATTATCCCAGTAGGTTCAGCTAACATCCATCATTTCATATGGATACAATATAAAGATAAGTAATTCTTCTTGTGATAAGAATTCTTAGGATTTACTCTCTTAACAACTTGTTTGTATATCATATGTATATCATAGCAGCGTTAACAATATTAATCATGTTGTACATTACATCCCTAGTACTTATTTATCTCATAAATGGAAATTTGTACTTTTTGACCACCTTTCTCCAATGCCCCCTCCCTACCTTCTGCCTCTTGTAACCACGTCTGATCCCTTTTTCTATGAGGCTTTTTTTTTTTTTTAAGATTCCATATGTAAGTGAGACCACACAGTATTTGTCTGTTTCTGTCTAACTTATTTCACCTAGAGCACAATGACTTCAAGGTCCATTCATGCTGTTGCTAATAGTCAGATTTCCTAATTTTTCATTGCTGAATACTATCCCTATATATGATCTAGCAATTCCATTTCTGGGAACATATCCAAAGAAAATGAAAACACTAATTCAAAAAAAAAATCTGCTCACATATAACCAAGACATGTAAACAACCTAAATGTTCATCAATGGATAAATGTATAAAGAAGATAAATGTGCGTGTGTGTGTGTGTGTGTGTTTGTATCTCTTGGCTATATGGAGGCAGATATCTTTTTTAAAAATGTTGAAGTCTTTATTGTATTTTTCTGTTACCATTTATTCCCCTAACACCTCCCCACCCCCAGCAGTCACTGCGCTGTTGTTCGTGTCCATGTAAATACCTTACAGCTCTCACTCACGTAGCAGATTTGCTGTGTTTGGGGACTTAAACATCTTTTTTCAAAAGGATATGTAGAGAACAACTTCCACTTTGAGAGTGCTTGGTTCTCCCCTGGGGGATATGTTATCCTGAATCTTCACACTAATTTTAGGTTGTATGCACCTGTCAGTAATTCCTCCAGAAGTAGCTTACATTTGCTTACCTGTGAATAATAAACTGTCTTTTCAGCACTCATTTTAGCTTTTAGCAGAATGTGTGCTTTATACCTTGAAATCCACAGGAAGGAGTAAAAACAGCATTTGAGGCTCATTGTAATTTCACATCATTTGTTACAGAGGGAAACTTAATAGTGAATTTTCCAACTCACTCCAAGGCCACTCAATCTTTTTTAGAAAGGAGTCTTACAACTCCTTTGGATTCACTCCTAAGAATCATTTCAATGCAGCTGGGACCTAGTGGTATGTCTTAGTCACTTTGGGCAGCTCTAGCGGAGTATCACAGACTGGGTGGCTTAAACAGCAGAAATTTATTTTTTGTAGTTCGGTAGTCTGTGAAGACGAGCTTAGTATACCAGCATGGTTGAGTTCTGTTGAGGGCCCTCTTCCTGGTGTGCAGACAGCTGCCTTTTTGCTGTATCCTCACATGCCCAAGAGAACAGACTCCGGTCTCATTCTCTTCTTATAAGAACATTAGTCCCATCCTGGGGGGCTCCAGCCTCATAACCCCATCTAAACCTAGTTAGTTCCCAAAGGCTCCACCTCCATTGGGATTTATGGTTTCAACGTATGAATTTTGGGGGAACACAGACATGTAGCTCATAGCATGCTTTTGTGGCTTTTGAATGTCTCCCATTCGTGAATGGAACTTCTGGAAAGATGATCTGCAAAAACTGATAGTTGGGTCTTTTATGCAGTGGAGATTGTGGGGGTACAGAAAGGGGTTGGCAGCAACATTTCCTACCAGAATTGTGTCCTGTCTCATGTAAAAATCTCCAGGTATATTTGGAGACACATGGACTCCGAAATTGTGAAAATACCCTGGCAGTTGTGGTCAAGGACTTCCTAGTCGTGACGAAAAGTGAGTTTACCTTTATACTTTTACTAAGAGATGTGAGGATAGTTTAATAGGTTGCTCAGTGGCTGTCAGAAGCGAAGCCAGGACCACATAAAGGTGTGGGAACGCAGGGAAACCAGCCTCATTTCGCCTGTCACTGTGAGGATGTGCAGCTGGTCAAGCCCAAGCAATGCATCCCAGCCAGGCTTGCACGCCCTCCTCCTTCCCCCTGGCTTTCTAAGGATGAGCAGTGCTGTGCATGTGCCAAAAACCCATGGGATAATCAATGAGGAAAATCCTCATCTAGAACTTTCCTTCTCTGAGCAGGGTTTTCTCCAGGAGAGGGGACCAGGTCGCTGAGGAGGGCCTGGCAGGGGAGGATGAGAAAGACAGCACAAGAGACCGCAGCCTGCCCAAAGTTCCCATCACTTTGACACGAGGGAGGGGTTAAGTCATTCTTGAACAGTTTATCGCTCATCAGTTGCAATTAAATATGTTTATATTAAATTATGTTCTGTAATTAATGTAAAATCCTTTAGACTATGCTGTTATTAGAACCAGATGCTGAAGTACCAACAATATTTCAACATGGCTGTGCTGCCTCGCCAGCTGTCTGACTGTAATTACTTTAATCTCAGCTTGTTATCTAATTATCACCTTTGTAAAGGGAAAAGTACTCTCTAATGCTTACTGATTGTTTCAGATGACGATGAAGAGCAGAGAACAGCTGTCAGAGATCGGGGGCCCTACTTATCACAATGAAGGAACTTATCCTGAAGCCTACGCAGGGCCAAACTGCTGAGAAAAGATGTCCCAGGTGGGGACAGGGGACTGGCCAGTGAGGGGAGACAGTTGGTGTGATGGTTAAGGGTGGGGCCCTTTGAATAAACTGTCAGGTGACACCTGCCTCCTGCAGTGATGGCTGGGGGGACAAGTTGCTTAATTGTGTTAAGACTCAGTCACCACACCTGTAACATGGAAACAGTAATAGCACCAGAATTTCTCTCAGAGGACTGTTGTGAAGATCGAATGAGATTATGCATATAAAGCCCTCAGCACAGTGCTTGATGAAATAACTATTCTTCCTTTAGGAAAAAAATCAGTGTTGGTTTTCTGCATTCCCATGACCAGTTCGTTTTCCACATTATGTTCAAGTTCTGTCCTTTTGGGATTGAAATTTACCTTTCCATTGCTTATTCAAAAATGGTTTCCCAAACCAGTC